CCGAGCGCGATCGACACTTGCATCGGCGTACCCGACATCGAGGCCGACACGTCCGACATGACGAGCGTCTGCGTGAGCGTACCCAGAGCCCGCGTCGCCGTCTCCAGAACAGCCCACTGCGCCTCCAAAAGCTCGTCCTTGGGCTGGCCATTGTAGTAGGCGTCGACGATTTGGTGCGGATAGAGGACCGCCGCGTTGACCTTGGTCTCGCCCGTCTTGAGGCCGGCCTTCCACGTCGCAAAGGCGTCGGGGAGATGCCGCTCGAACGCATGCTTGGGCTTGCCATGGTTCTTCATCGCGACGCTGGGCACCTTGTTCAAGTTGATCTTCTCCCACTCCTTGGCGCACATGAGCGACTCCAGCAGCGTGAGCGACTTGCGCAACGGCGACAAGTACGTCTTGCGCAACTCGGCCGACCGCACGTTGAGCAGCTTGGCGAGTTTGCCGTTGACATGGTCCTTCTTGTCGGCCTTCTTGTTCTCGGACGGCACCCACTTGGCGCAGAGACTGATGGGCTTGCCATCGTGGAGCGCGGCCAGATCCTTCTTGAGTTGCTGCGCAAAGATCGAGAGCGCAAAGGTCTCGGCAGGCGTGCCCACGAGCGCGAGGAGGTCGTCGTACCGCCCGTAGACGCTGACGTAGTGCTCGAGGTTGTGCAGGAGCGCGCGCGTGTCGTGCGTCGCCAGCCACGCGAGGGCCTGTCGCCCGAGAAGCCGCTCGCCTTTGCCGCCGCGGATGTCGCGAATGTACGCAATGATCTTGAGCGTATGCAGCGGGTCCTCGGCGTACGAGGCCGTTAGCTTGGCTTCAAGGGTAGTGAGCGGCGTCCCCCGATTCGCTCCCGCAAAGAGGTCGACGTGGGCGCTGGTCGTCGTCGCGTGGGTCAATGCGCCATTATCCGTCAATGTCAGTGGCGCTGGCAGCGTCACGGGCATCGTGACCATGCTCACCACAGCGCAAAATCGAAATTGATCTGTCGAGTGCCACGTTTTAAATGGTTTGGATGCGGTGTGGTATCCGGAAGGCCAGGATATTCGCTGAGTTGAGTACCACGTCGCGTCTGCAACAAAGAGACGGTGGCTAAGTTGTGGTCCTTTCGAGGCGAAAACAACCGTGAGACTTCGTCATTTGTGTTGGTTCTAGTCCCCGTCGAAACACACGTAGAAACCGGTGGGTCGCACGATAGCACCCGACAGAATGTACTCGACGAAGCGAATTCTAGCAATCTCTATCTGTATCCGGATGGAGATGCGTGTGAGTGTGGGTCGTGCAAAGTGCAAAGTGCACAAGGGTTTGCCACGTTTTCTCGTCCTGTTTGGGTTGTGTTGTTTGTGAGTGTTGGTAGTGCAATGCTAGCTCCAATGGCTTTTTGAGTGCGGTCGAGTCGAAGGGAGCTAGGGTTGTCAAGATACAGATGGCGCCTAGTCGACCACCTTTTGTCCTGTCGGTGGATTCTTCACTCGCAGAAGGTGCGGGGTTCGAGCCCCGTAGGTGTTGTCCCTTTCTTCGCTTTCCCATTGGCGTTGCCATCGGAAACATCAAGTCGGTTCTTGACTGTGGTCAACTTCCCCACATTGCTGCCAAACAGGGTGGCGGCGATGGCGCTGGGAGAGATGTTTCTGCCATCGGTGCGTGTGTCTCGACCATCGAATCACATGCGACACACCTTGTCGAGATGGAGCTTACCTTCGGGCTTCATGGCCACCGCGAGCAAGGCTCATCCTTCGACTATTCTTGAGAAATACACTCATCGCGCTATTATTTTCAACCAATCCACATGCCGCTTTAGCAACACGGAGGTCGATGTCAGTGTGCTTTCCCGCTGCACACTCTACTGCTACCATGTATCTGTACAACGCCGTATCGTAAGATGGGTCTACGCTCACTGCATCCACTCACTTCGCGACATGACTCTGGCGCATTGGCGTGCTGCTCATGCTCACGCCGTCAATGGCAGCGCCGAGCAGCAAGAGGCTCGAGACGAAGCGCTAGTTTGCGGATGACCGCGTCCGCATTCAGTTTTGCTCGACCAGTGACTACGCCACCAACTACCGAGAGGTCCAAACGTACCTCGAAGCCAACTACACCCGCCGCATACTAGGCGCACGCTCGCCGCGTTAGCAACGTTCTGCGGCATTGATGGTTCATGGACGTAGCTAGCGATCGTGAGTCGAGTGTGCCCTCGGAAGGCTCCCAGAAATCTCTCATTCACAGCCGTTCAAATGCTACGTTTTGTGTGCCGAGCCGTCTGGACGCATCCCTTTCTGTCGACTAAAAACTGCCGCAAACGACGGCCAGGGTACCAGATCGCTGTACCTCGGCGCGTAAAGAGAGTGGTCCATGACAATCTCAAAGTTAACATCAATTCGAATCGACAGGACGACGACGATGGCAGAACGATCTGCGCGGCCGCCATGTACTCAAGCGCCTAGAAGCCGTACACGCAGTCGCGGGCTCCGCTTCTTGGTGTGTAGTCTACTCAAAGACGTACGTAATCTAAATCCAAGAGAATTCCCTTGTCTAAATCTAACAACGCGTAGTGCGGAGGTTACTTTTTCGCAACATCTACCCACATTCCCTTTGATGCCAAAATCTGTGTGCCTCGATGCTGGCCACACGAAACGCCACGTCATCATCCGGATATCATCCTTAAATCCGGATGTACCCAAACGAAGCCATTCCGCGGAAGCTTCGCGAAGTCAAACTCGTGCTCGTCCCATGCGCTCCCTAAAAGGATGCAGACAGCTCGCAGGAATCGATGTGGAGAACTTGTCGATTATGGACCTATTAATATATAAACCATAACTATTCAGGGGTTCTCAATTTCCCTGTTACGCTCTATCCACGAGCCAGCAAGACCGCTTGACCGCTTGACCTGGAACCTGGCGACAGGCAGATGCGATGGAGCCAGTCCATAGAATCTATAGGGTAAAGTCCAGGCAAGTGAGGTAAAAGGCCCGTATTTCATGCGGCACAGGTTTTAACGTATTTAACCTGTCTCGACCATCTCTATTTCTGCTGGCGCCATGCAGAGCACCGACCAGTCGGCCGTCCGCTCGGACGACGAGAACGACGCCTCCACCGACCGTCATGACGTCGCAGTCGAAGCTGCACCCAGGACGACGTGGTGGGCGCACAAGGACGACCTCATCTTGCTCACGCAGGCCAACACTGATCGCCCATTCTTGGCCGAGAGGGGCCTCATGGCGGCCTGGGATGCCACCGCGGCCAGCATCAGCCAGGCTCCGGACTTCGGACGACCAGGCGTCAACGGCAAGAAAGCGTCCAGTCGCTTCTTCAAGCTCATCGAGGCCCACCGGCTGTACATGAAGCAGGCGAAATACGCATCCGGCGAGAACGACACGCCCAAGATTAGGCTTCTGGACGAGATTGTCAGGCGCATCGACGACCACAACAAGGCAAAGGCCAAGGAAATCATGACCAAGAAGACACCAAGAAGCGAGCCCGACGAACCGGCGCGTCTTGTTCGAGAGCCAGCGCCAGCGCCAGCTCCAGTAGCCCGCGGCCCCAAGCGACCTCGGACCAGCATCGCAGCATCCGACGACGACGACGACAATCCAGTGCCAAGCCGCAAGACGACGGACGCGGAGTTTCAGCTGCGCGTCATGGAACTGGAGCTCGAGCGCGAGCGCATCGCGTTGGAGAAGTCAAAGCTCCAGATGCAAGCCGACCAAAGCGACAAAGATCGCGCGGAACGAGCAGCCATTCGGGAGATGGAGGCGAAGCGCCATTCCGACATGATGGCTTTGACCAAAGCGATCCTTGACCAAATACAAGCATGAACGAACTAAGCTTAGGCGCTGGTCTCCGAACGTCCACTTCAACTCGAGTTGCCTCAATTTTCAAAAATGCAGGCGTCGGACCGTACGGATAAAATTTATCCGGTAGCCTCCGTAGTTGGCCCAAATTTGCCTGGTTTGCGAACGCACATTTGCGAGTCAACTCACTCGAGGACTGTGAATGGACCGCACGCATCGTTTTGCGTCGGCGGTCGCGGCAGCCGTGGGCTGCGCTTGCTGTGGCTCATACCGTCATGCGCGAGGACAAGTTCAACATTCTAACCATAATGGAGGTCGAGGTCGATTACGTGATTCCCGATCCTCGCTACAACCAAAGGTTCATCAACAGCCTCCGCTGCTCCCAAGCCACGTTTCGCGCTCTTGTGTCCACGCTCCGCGTCTACATGAGCGACTACAAGTTCCGCAAGTCCGCGCATTCCTTCGCCAAGAAGGTCGCCGTACTGCACTTCCTCGCCAGCGAGGGCGGGTACCGCTCGGTGTGTCCAAGTCGTGGTGTATCTACATCGTGCGAGCATTTTCCGACGGCACGCTCATCGACATCGAGCGCCCTAAGGTCTACGACGGCTTCTTCAACCGCCATGGTGACCCACGTCTGGCGTCGTGACCGCTGGAGGTGGTGTAGGCAGCGGCATTGCAGCAGGCGGCGGTAGCGTCATGGTGGCAGCCTTCTTGGTGGCAGCCTTCTTGGTCACCTTGCGCTGTACAGGCGCCTTGGGCGTGGTGTTCGACGCGCCTCGCGTTGCGCTATTGTGCGATAAAAACCAAAACTCGGAGTTGATGCAACGGAAGTCGATTCGGAATCAACTCCAATCCCCTCCAGTGATGCCACAAGCCGGATAAATTTTATCCGTATGACATTTTAGAAAATTGAGGCAACTCGAGTTGAAGTGGACGTTCGGAGACCAGCGGACTAAGAACTGCAATGTGGCAGCGCTTCCTTGCGATCCGAGAAATACAACCTATCACATCACCCGCCTCTAATCTTTTTAGCCAATCCGCGTGCAGACCTGAC